TATCAGGATATTTTTACCTGGTATCATTTCTTTGGAGTTCTCACTAAAGTTTACAATGTTATGATTAGCATATTGCCCTGGTTAGAGAATTTGTTTTCTCTGTTCCTTTGGAGCATATTTCTCAAGCAGCCCTCATCTTTTATGAGAGATGAGAGAGTGTGAGAGGAATTGCCTCTGGAATATCATCAGTATGTTATACCTATTAATAAAATCCAGGACCAAGCCTCCCTTAGAGAACAGGTAGAGCAGAATACAGTAGGAGGACTGTATTACATAAGATTGGGACTGAAGCTTGTCAAGCTAGCTTCTTTGTGGGATACATAGAATTAAGGCCTCCAGAGTTAGGCTAAGAGTATAATGTCTTTGGTAATTTCAAAATGTAAAGAATAATGTGGGATTTGCTTTTAAAAAACTCTAGGAAAAAAGTTGGAGAATAAATGAAAAAGAAAAGTGTTGCTAATTGTTGAAGCCAGGTGAAGGATATCTTGGAATTTATTATACTATTTTTTTCTACTTTGGTGTATGTTTAGAAATTTTTATGTTAAACACACACACACACACACACACACACACACACACACACACATCCCTTTAACTGTGCTCTATTATCATCACCTAGTATCATTACTCTGGGATTGTCATTGAAGTCTATAACAGTGTCACTAGCGCATCATTTCTACTTAGACAAATCAGTTTTGTGTTTTGTTGTTCCTTTAGGACAAATATATCAAACAACTCTCATCTTTTGAGAAATGGGAGCTTGCAACAGGAGTTGCTTCTCAAGCGCCATCGGTATGTTTCACCCAGTATTCAAGACCTAGCCTCTCCCAGAGAGTAAGTAGGGCGGAATATAGTGAGGAGTAAGTAGCAGAGAGTAAATTGCTTAGGTTTGGGCTCACGATTGATAGGGCAATGTAGTAACTGCTTCAAGGTTTTAGTGTTAAGGTCGGTAATAATGGGCAAAGAATATAATGCCCTCTTGTTCTGTGACATATCACACCATTTTGTCCTGTTGAAATGACTTCAGGCCTCTTCACTGAAGCTTTTACTGTTGCCGCAGGCATGATGCTCCTGCTTGGATAATTTATGTCCAGTGTTCACGTTGTCTTTCAGCACGGGAACTATGGGCAGGCCTCATGTAATATGACAGATGAAAGAAGGAGAAAGGAGTTATTTCCAGAGCGCCATGAATATGTTTTACATGAAATCCAGGATCCAGAATCTGTCAGAGAGCAGGCAGAGCAGGGTATAGTAAAGAGTAAGCAGCAAAAAGTAATTAGTTAGAATTTGGGCTGGAGTTGTCAGAGCTATGTTACCAATAAAGACGATGATGATGACAGCATTTTCTCTTATTAATATTAGTGCTAGTATTAATATTATTATGAATAACAGCTTACATTCATTGAGCACTTACTATAGCCAAAATGCTTTTAGAATTTTATATGCAGTATCTTATTTAATTCTCTCAATAACTATGGGAGATAAATACTATTATCTTTGTTTTTGTAGATGAAATTTGAGATTGCATTGTGAGTAGAGTTAAGATCCATAATGGTGACAAGAAGTGTAATGTCTACTTTCATGCCACAATATATGAGACCATTCTGACCTATTTAGATTACTGCAGGGCTATCCCTGAAGCTTATAGTACTATCACTACTACTATGTCACTGCTCACATATTTGGCAAGTGCTTTTGTATCTTTTAGAGCTTATACTTTAGGGAGCAGCCATCTGTTGGGACAGCTGAAAGATGGCCAGAGGATTTGCTTCTGGATGGCCATCAGCATCTTCCACCCAGGCACCAGAGAGATGCTTCCAGCATACCACAGGTAGAGCAGACCATAGAGTATGAGCAGTGGAATTTAGACAGGATTATAGTCACCTACTAAACTGGAAGTGGTAAGGCTTATCAAGAAGCAGATTCCTGTTTTATTTCATGGTATGCAAAA